AAAATGGAAACAAAGTCTGTGTAAATAGGGAAGGGTGGAAGGGGTGAAAGGTGCACAGGTATTGGGGAAAAAATAAGAACCAAGATGCATCATGTACAGGTACAAGCACCCAATGATAAATGTAAACGTATTGTATACCTAAAATGTACCAATAAAAGTATTAAAGGAAAAAATAAATAAGTTACCAAGATTTTTCTGTTGATACATGTATACTGTTTACAGATTGCTGGATTTAGTGGTTCATCCTGTTCCACAGTCTTCTCAGTCTTGGAAGTTTATTCAACAGAGTCCCACAAGATCTCCTTCATACCTACCCTCTAGTTCAAGTTCACAATTCAAACGATCACATCAGAAAACCTCCAGGACGTCAGAATTAAATTTGCTTGAAACTCCTCTTGTAGTTAAGGTTAGTATTACATATCCAGCATTGATAATAAAGCTAAGGAGTTCTTAGTTTTTTTACTCGCACAAAGAAAATAAGCTAATAATAACTGATATCTGTAGGTAGTCAACAACTTTAAGTACTTTTTTCTACTTAAATCTTTATGACATTCTTTCCAAAACTGTACTTTTACATTTTCTTAGAGTAACTTTCAAGTGTCAATCTTTACTGCTGATATTATGTTATTTCTTCTGACAACTAATTTTTAGTTTTTATGGGTATTTTTATTTTACTCTGACCCCTTTAATGAAACTAATAATGAAATAAAATAATTTCACTATTCTGTCAGCCTCTCTTTATATGGCTCTTTCTTCCATCCTCCCTGATAGTTGAGAAAACAACAAAATCAAACTTGTGATTACTGATACCAGTGTTCTTTTACCTTCCAGTGTTCTACATTAAATATCTTCCTCCTCTTTTGATTTGGTTTGGTAGTTTCCGGATTCCCTGTTCTGGAGATCCAGCATTTATAGCAAGGCTTCTTATATTTCAAGTTGAATAAATATACCTCAATAAATTAAGTTCCTGACATTTAATGTATAGTAAAGTATTTGTAACTTTTGTTAATTTGTGTAAAAAATGTTTTGTATTGTCTACACTGGGTTCAAATGAGATTAAGGGAATAATTTTGCATATCCTGCCAAAACAGTCTATTATTAAAAACTCATAATCTTGTAATTTGAGTAGCTGAATTCATTAATGTAATGGAATTCAATAATTACTAAGTCTTTAGTGGACAAGTGAAGGAATTATTTCTACAAAATTCATTTAAGTACTAATATTAAATTACTTTTATTCATTATACAAAATCTGTAGAGGATTCTAATATAGCTTATTACTGAATAGTTGTGAAATTTTTTTAAAACATACTAAAGTCAATCTCATTGTTAATTTAGATTGTCTTCTGCTAATTAACGTAGGTTCTGTGCATTATACACAATCAGGTCTTTCACCTAACTAAAACTTTGTGTTACATAAGTAATTGGCACTGTATTTTAGAAATAACCAGGACCTTTAGAAAGATAATAAATACAATTATATGTTTTATAGCCTCCACATAAAAAGCTCTGGGAGAATTTTGTATTTTCTTCCAAGCATTCTGAAATAAAAATTTCTACTTGAGAGTTTATTGGAGATGAGAAAGTAACTATTATTGGGATTTAAATGTCCCAATCTGTCCTTATAAATGCCTTTTATAAACATTAATGGTGACATTCTGTTTGTGTTTGTCATAGAAAGCTAAAACTTTGGCTATGTCAGTTACTTCTGGATTTGCTGAGTTGACTCCACAATCCATCCTAAGGTCTGGTTTTCGAACACCTTTAGCATCTCCCTCTGTGTCTCCTGGAAGGTCTCTTACTCCACCTTTACAACTTAAGGAAACAAGAATTTCATTCATGGAAGAAAGCATGAGCACAAAATGGACTCCTGGAGTAAGTTTCATAATAATAAGGGGTAAAGAGGTAAAGAATTGAGGATGAACATACCCTGGTGCAGTGGCACATGTAATCCCACATACTTGGGAGGCTGAGGCAAGTTTCAGGCTAGTCTGGGAAATTTAGTAAGACATTGTCTCAAAATAAAACTAAAAAGCGGGTGGGGAGGTTGCTTGATGTGAGAACATGGACCTGGGTTTGATCCTTTGTACTTTCTACAAAGAGGTTAGATTGCTGTACATTTTTATATACAATCTTGAAGATAATCTCAAAAACAGGAAATAGTTCTGAGAGAAATTTTAGGGGACTGAACAAGCCAAATCCATTATTTTATAGGTAAAGAAAATAGGGCTTAGAAAGCTGTAGAAAACTAGATGGCAGGGCCAGAGATTTAGCTCAGTGGATCCATGCCTGCCTTGCAAGCACAAGTTCCTGAGTTCGATCCCCGGTTCCACAAAAAAAGAAAATGAAAACTAGATGGCAGAAATAGGACTAGAACACAAACTTCTAATTCTTAGACCATGTTTTTTGCTTTTTACTTGTTTTTTACCCTGTATTGTTTTCCTTCCCTAAAATTCCTAATTAAGTTTTCTATTTAGGCAGGTGACTCTTCAGATTTCCATTGTAGGTTAATAGGAAACTATTTGGTAATTACTGATTATCTGATCTGTTCATTTTAATCTTTGGAAATAATAGTATACTACAAATTAGGGAAACATTAACAACCATTAACCTTAAGACTGTGTCTGAAGAAAATGAGTTTAAAACAAGTGAATTTTAATTAAGGGAGTTTGGTGAAATACTGAGCATGGAAACTTGGGTGTGATTCATATGCATCACTTAGCATTGGGTTGATATTTAGTGGTTCATTTTCTTTTCCTAATTTTAACAGGCTGCAGATGACAGTGAAACAAAAATACTTGTTACTGCACCTTTCCATAAAAGTGGAGTTCCAACTGAAACTGAATGGCTCAAGAACAAAGATAAAACCACATCTTTTTCCCTGAGTCTTCCTGAAAAAAATCAAGAAATGGATGCAAAGTCACAGGATACAGCCTCACAGAGTCTGGAGAAACTTGATGTGAGCAAAGAAAGCAGCATTGTTTCAACTAGATCGGACCAGACTACATTAGAGTATTATGATGCACCATCTCCGGGAGACTTTGAAGGTTTTGTTTTTAAGCCACCAAGCTCTTCCACTGAACTGATTACTAATTTAAATGAACAAACTAAGAAGGATGGTGATGAAGGTATGTTTGAGTCAGAAGCAATTCCTTCAGACATGGAGAAACAAATAGGTAGGAACTCATTTTCACATATTCAGAATTGCCATTGATATTCCTCATTAAAACTTGAAATAGGATTTTTCTATCATAAGAAAATCCAAGTTAAATAATTATTCTATACTCATAGGGCACTAGGTATTAGACAAAATGCTCAAATCTTGCTTCACTTTGTGAGAATGGCTTACACTGCTCCAGAAGTAGGTATGAGATTTGAAAGGAGAACTTATGTGTATTTTTTTTAATTCAGTCAAGAAATTTGTAAAAGAATAGTAATGTGTTAGAAAATTTAATTTGTGATAATCTGATATAAAAGGTCTTCAAGTGGGCCAGGGATTTAGCTCAGTGGTTCCATGACCTGACCTGTGAGCGAAAGGTCCAGAGTTCCATCCCTGGTACCAAAAGAAAAAAAAGCTCTTCTAGTAACTATGGGAACTAATTCTAATTTCAAAGACTGAGTCGTTAATGCATATGCTTTCAGAAAGCTCCTCCTGGTGTGTTTGCTTGGTGTTGAATGTCAAACAGTAAGTAAAGCAGGCAGGACACTTGCCCTTGTGTCATGCAGGGGATTGTGAACTGCTTTAACAAGCCATTATAATGCAAGGTTGGTTAGTACTATTTCTGTGAGGGCCAGGAGGATACTAGGAAAGGAGACTTGGCTTAGAATTGGTAGATCCAAAAACTAAGCCTATTTTTAGATTTCTTACCCCATGCACAGTTCTAAGAAGCTTATTTAAAGGTCACATTAAGTCTGTCAAAGCAAATGCATGTATAAAAATCTGTGTCTCAGGTATCTTTTGAGAAATACTTTTTGCCTAGGCTAAACTAATGTTTCTTCAGATGTGAGAGTTCAGTGAAGTTTGTATTGTGTTGTCTTCTTTACTACACAAAAGCATTATTAATTGGTTTAAAAATTTTAATATTCTGCTCAGAAATAGCATGTCTAGAAATTTACACTGCTTTTTTGAAGTGCTGTGGTCTAAAATATTTCAGTGGTAAATATTAGATAAGAATGTACATAGCAGGATCTCCATTGATTATTCCAACACTATTAGGCAGTGCAAATCTTTCTGATTAGGGGATCATATAATGGGAACTTTATAGTAAAACAGATTGAATTTATTCATCTACCTCTTCACATATTGAGGATTATGTTAATATATGTAGAACATTTGCAACAGAGCCTGTTAAACTAAGAGTCAAAAGTGAGACTTTAAGGGAAGTGGGGGAGCTCTTGAGCTAGCTTCAGAGAATTAGAAGGAACTCTGCTGGCAGTTATCACTAAGACAGTACATGTAAAAGAACAAAAAAAGCAGGCCCAATAACTTATTTTTAAAAAGTTCCAGGGCTGGGATGTAGTTCAGTGGTAGAGCTTGCCTAGCACATATGTGCCAGGCTGTGGGTCCGTCCTCAGGACCACACTTGGACACACATGCACAAAGGTACGAAACTATGAGTAACTGTTAAGACATTTAGCATGAATACTATTCTTATCTCTATGACTTATAGGCAATTTAGAAGTTTCACAGGAGAGACTTTCAGAATTAAATCACTTAAGCCCCCTTCAAGGAATCGAATCTTCTCGTGTGCCATCAGTCCATGAAGGGTAAGTTTATGAAGACAAATTAAAATATTTTTTAAAGATGCTTAGCAAAACTTGTGAGCCAACAGTAAAATATTCTATGCATATTAGAGCTTATTTAGATCTGCCACATCTCCACTTGATAATGTATGAAAAGTTAGCTGACTGTGGGCTGGGGATTTAGCTCAGTGGTGCCACACCTGGCTCACAAGTGCAAGGTCCTGAGTTCAATCCCCAGTGTGGCAAAAAAGAATAGGCACCCTCGTATACCAGGAGCAATAAAATAATATTCAAATTACTAAAAAAAAAGTTAGCTGACTTAATTGATATAATAACCTATTTACTTTCTGACAAAAGCTTCTTGTTTCATTGCAAAATTACTCAGACTGCATGTCAGCACTTTGAGTAACATTGTAGAGCATACACAAAAGTGACAACTTCACTTATCAAGAGAGATAGTAATATTATAGCAAAATTAACCCACATAAAATATGATCATTTAAGACATTAGGTACATTGCTTTGTAAGAAGCAAGTACTGGGAGTAACCTCATAAATTACCCACAAAATTCATACTTTGATAGTCACCTTATTATGAAGCACCATCACATAACTTCTGAGAAGTCTACCTGGATAGTTGAAATCTTTGCCAAGCCTTCATCAGAAAAGTAGCAGAAACCAATAAAAAGATTGTTTCATTTTGTTTGTTCTAATTTTTTTTTTAATTTTAATGAAAATAAATGTTACTTGTTGCAATGAGTTTGGCAGATAATTGGAATAGTTAAAAAGCAAGAAGCATTCATATCCAAAGAAACTGGTTCAGTGAGAACCTAGGTGAATATTTAGAATCTAGGTGAATGTTTAATGTCTTGTTAAGCAAGTAGTTCCTTTTTAAATATAAACTTACTTGATATTTTTCTGATTTATTGCTCTCAGCTATCCTTGCTATAAATTCTGTGGTTGAGACAAATCTTTTTAACAAACATCTGTTAATAAATGAATACAGTCATCCTTTGGTATTTGACTGCTTAAAACTTGTTGAATTTGGTATTCAGTGCATTTTGATGGAAAATTTCTACTCAGTGTGCAAGTTAGAACTTGTCAGCATCAATTACCGGACTCAATACCCTTTCCACTCAAAACTGTTTGCTTGTTGTCTAGAACCATTAACAATGTAACATTGTATTAAAATATTGAACCTAATCCTGAGAGCAGAGGAAATATTTTGTGATACTTAACAGGCTTATTTGAAGAATATGACCACTGATTATTAAAAATTATCTTCAGAGTAATTTATGCTGGCAAGCATTTAAAAATCGTATTTTACTTGTACTTTAAGGCCATATCATTGTTGTCAAAAAAAGTAAAATGGTAGGAAGATAAGAAATACGGCATTGATTTGTTTTTAAATTCACTTTATAAATTTTATAAAATATTGAAAATGAGCTTGAGGGCCGGGGATTTAGCTCACTGGTTACTGCGCCTGCCTTGCAAGCGCAAGGTGTCCCGAGTTCGATCCCCGGTACCAAAAAAAAAAAAGAAAAGAAAATGAGCTTGAATAGTGATTTCTTTGAACCCTGGTATGCATCAAAAAAACAAGTGGAGAGCCAATAGGTCTAAAGCTGGTTTGATAGAATCTTCTTACATAGTAAATTACGCATTTCTGTTTCTAAAGGAAAATCCTGACTCCGAAGTCCAAGGCACCAGTTTTGAATGAAGGACTAATGTGTGCTGAATCTTGCACGTCTGCAATTAGAGCAGACAACGATAAATGTATGTATGATTTGACTTTAGAGTTATTTCACTTCAGTGTTTAATTATCTCCTCCCAAACCCAGACTAGAGAGATGTGAGAAAGGTGTTTTTCTTAGAGTTCGAAGTTGGGTTTAAGGAAAGCAGGCATGTGGAATGTCTATTGCCAAAAGAATTTCACATGTATTAACTCATCCCTTCTTAGAACACTGCTATGATACAGTTGTCTATCTGATTCTAGAGCCTATGCCCTTAACTGTTAAACCTTTGTGCCTATCACATTATGAATAGGGCTTAGGGCAAATGTGAGCAGACCTGACGTTGCCCTCTGATTAAGTATATATGCAATTTTTTAAAAAAAGAATATATACATACTTATTGTACAATAAGTATGAGAATCGTCTTGAAATGTAAAGTAGAAAACATTGTTAACAATTTAAAGTGTCTTTTTGTTGAAAAATGATTTCTTTCTGTGAGGAGATAGTAAGGTGGCAAAAGGTTACAGGGGTTTGACCTAGATGGCTTGGGGTAATAACCCAGTTCTGTACTTTACTATAAGACTGTGGGCTATTCCTCTGTATTTTTTGTTTGTTAAATATAAATAGTATTCATTTTATGATGTTAGGATTAAGCCAATTGCATGTGAAGTGTTCAGAGTAGTACTTGGCACTTAAAAGCCAGGAAATGTTAACTGTTACTATAAATAATTATCATTCCATTAACAGTAAGTGCATTTATTTTTTAAAGAACAACTTTTCATTTAATAACAAGCCTTTTTTTTTTTTTTGGTACCAGGGATCAAACTCAGGTCCTTGCGCTTGCGAGACAGGCAGCATAACCACTGAGCTAAATCCCCAGTCCAACAAGCCATTTTTTCATGGCAAGAATATAGATTGATTCATCCTTTATGATGGTTCTAGTAGGATTCTGTACTATGGGTGTGTGTTCAGCTAATTGCTTATTGGTAAACATTTGGACTGATCATGATTTTCCCCCTTTTTTTTGTTTTACTGTTTCATTTCTGCAGTGAGTATTCTTGTGTGTATATATATATATATATATATATATATATATATATTTTCAAACATTCTGTCAGTATTTCAGTTGGACATACACTTACTGGGTCAAAGATTATGCTTAGATTTCTCATATGTTACCTTAGATTACTCACATATTATATGTTAGATGTCTCATATGTTATGTATATAGTGATGAGTGAAAAAAGTCTATTTTCCCATTCCTCTTTGCCAAACTGACAGGTAGAAAACAGTTTTCGTGTTGTTTTGCTATTATTTGCGTATCAGGGATAATCATCTCCCCCCTCCCTGCTTTGCTTTTTTTTTTTTTTTTTTTTTGGAGACGAGATCTCACTATGTAGTCCAGGCCGGCTTTGAACTTTTGGCCATCCTACTGCCTCAGGGTCCTGAGTGCTGGGATTATAGGCATGCACCACACCCAGCCAATTTCTTAAAAGTATGAGAATATTTTTCCTAGTTCTTTCTTTAACTTTTTACCTTTCGTTGATTTCTGTTAAACTAAAACATTTTTAATTGAGTTAGAGATCCGTGAGGATATCTTATGTTTTGTGTCATTCACAAATGCTAAACCCAAATATGACCTATGATTGCTAACGACATACAACTTTGGCAAAGAGGAAGATGAAAGGAATTTTTCAACATTTTATAATGGCTCACCAAGAACAGCCAGTTGTCTAATAGTCACCCAGGTAATACAGTTTCCAAGTTAATAATGAACAAACATCTGAGTCTCCTTAAAACAGTTGCCATTGTATTAAGCTTTTGTAATAAGGGCAGGAATTATGTTTCAGCAGAAAAAAGTCATTTTTAAATGTGAAGTTTATCTTCTGTGTTTTATCTCTGTGAAAAGGATACACAAATTATATAAAAGTAATGATGGTGTACTGAAAAAAGTGGATTAACATATAGAGCCACACAGGCTTTCCCTTGTAGGATACTATAGCCTTTCTGCAGTGTGACAGTTAAGATAATATTCTCAGGTGCAGGGTGACCTTTTCCTTTCTGTTTGCTTTCTTAATTGTCCATAGATCATGTTTTGCAGTTAAAATTTAAAGAGTTAAATCATCTTTCTTTCAGCTCTGGCTGATGTGAGTGAGAGTGGAAGCTCTGGGCTTATTACCTCTGAAAGTCCTGTTGTGTCTGAACATAGGCTTGACCAGGAAATAGCACTGAACTTAAAAGAGCATGAAACAGAAGTTGATATGCTAAAACAAAGTGCTGACTTACCAGAAGAAAAGCATCCAATTTCTGACAGTCCTCCTGATACTCAAGAAATTCATGTAAAAAATTTTTTTATTTCTTTGTCTTTCAGTTTTGGTTTACAATTTAAGACATGACTGTTTAAACCTAATGTGTTTGTTTATTTGACTGCTATTATAAAATCTCTTTTAAAATCTGTTTTCAAAGAATAAGTATAAATATTTTGTGGAATATAAAAAAACACATCCTTGAAGAAACGATCTCATGAAAACCAAAAGGCTGTGTTAAGCCACAATTTGACAGTTTAATTTTTGCTTATCTACTTTAAATGAATGGTTTTTTAGCCATAAGAAAACATATAATGGCTACTCCAAAGACAAACATCTTAAGAGCATATATGTAAGAATAAAGTAAAACAGGATATTTTCCCCATGCATACTTATGGGAGAGTATTTACCCAGCTAATGTTCAACTTTCTCACCTCCAGAAAGGATTTTGGGGTGTGGTTTTTGGGGGGATTTTTATACCTAATGTGATTTTCTAAAATTATACCAATTCTCATATTAAGATGCAACTTTTATTTCTGAGAAACTAATTTCTGGTTACTTTCGGAAAGTAAAATTTGGGCAGTTTAATTAATAAAAATTTTGTAATTACCCCTATCCATTTTTATAAATAGTCTCACTGTAAAATAGATGGCTAAAGTCCCTATTCCTTCAATTGCAAAGCTAATAAAAATGTGGGCATGGTGTAAGTGGGAATCCTTGTTTATAGGTTACTTCAAATCTGTCAACTCACTGAATGTTTGGGGATGGGGAAATGTCATTTTCTAGGTGGGTGGTAATGTTCTACCTTCTTGGTCAGGAGATCTCTCTCTCTCTCTCTCTCTCTCTCTCTCTCTCTCTCTCTCTCTGTTACTTTCTACCTCCTCCTTTTTCTCCCCTTCCCTTACCAAAAGGTAAATGCAAGGACCATTCCTTCTTCCACCAAACCCTTGCAGGAGAGGTACTGAACTTGAAAGCCTTAGGAATTTCATGGTTTATGCAGCCCCAGCAAAGGGAAGAGGATTGAGTCTAGCCCAAGGGAGCTTATGTAGGTGAATTGTTCTTCAACCTTATGGGGATCATACTGTTTAGAAAGGTGTGGATAGTTAGCTAATGTGGGGATTATCATTAAAGTAGTTTGGGGGTTGTTTCTTTTCTCCAGTTACATTTTTTCTCAGATGAGACTAGAATAAGTCCTTAATTTTCTAACAACTGTTAGTATCATAGTGATTTTCAAGATTTTGTTGATACTGTCTTTTTAGCTAGGGAAATGTATTTCTGGTTTAATTCCAGTCATAATTTCAAATCCTTTTCTGTCTAGTTATTTTGACTGATTGCTTAAATGGTATCTTATAAAGTAAACCCATTAGTATATGCTATAGATCACATATAGTTTATGTTTTAAAGTGCACACACCAAATGTGAAATGGTCATTTGAAATCTTTGTGCTTTTGGTTAAAAATAATATTTTAAAATCCTTTAACCAGTCTCTTTGATTTATTTTAGGTGAATGTACATGAAAAGCTTGAAGTTCAAAAACCAGGAGAAGAGGCTAGGAATCTTTCATTTAATGAGTTGTATCCCTCTGGAACTCTTAAACTTAAATATAATTTTGATACTATTGAGCAACAGTTTTGTGACTTACCTGATAAAGACCCTGCTGAATGTGACATTGCTGAAGGCGATGGGGAACTTTTTGTCGCTCAGAGCAACTTTACCTTGATATTAGAAGGTGAAGAAGGAGAAGTTGAGACAGGTGATTCCACAACATCAAATGTGTTGCCAAAAGCAGCTAACACAGCAACTAAGGAAAAACTTGTGTATAATATGGAACATGATACTCATGGACATGTTGCAGATTTGTCATCAATCGTAACAAGTGACCAGGAATCTCGAAAAGTAGAGACTTTACCGTATGTGCCTGAACCAATTAAAGTAACAATTGCAGAAAATTTACTAGATGTAATTAAGGACACACGAAGTAAAGAAATTACTTCAGATACAGTGGAACAGTCCATGCAGGAAAACATGCCTTTAATAAGCCAAAATGTGATGTCTTCTACCAAATTAGTCAAACGTACAAGAAAGACTGTTCAGGAAGTAGAAACAGTGACTATAAATGTCAGCCAGAGTGATGATACGGTTTCTTCCAGAACTCGCACAAGACGGCAGCGTGTCCAAAACCTGAACATCACATCAGCACAACAGGAGTCAGCAGATGTTCATACTCCTAAGATGTTGGGGTCACCAGCTAGGAAGAAAACTAGAAAAACAAAAGAAATTTCTGAGCCTTCTGAAAGTGCCTATTCTGATGTTAAAGGAAGATCTCAGAAACAGCAAATACCTCAAAGTTCTCTTAGTTCTAGAAGAGGAAAGAATAAAAAAGAAATTAATCAAGACACATTAGAAAGTTTTGATTCTGTGGAACAAGAAACACAAGTTACTCCAGGTAGAGAACCAAAAAGGTCAAAATTATCTCAGCCATTGGAACCAGCAATTGAAGAAACTTTTGGAAAAGAAGTTAAGCTTTTGTCTGTTACAAAAGAAACTCCGAAAAGAATTAAAAAATCTGTAGAAAATGAAGAACATGATGAAATTATAAATGATCTAACAGTTAGTAATGTAGCAAGTCCTAGCAGGGCTGCCAAAAAATTGAGAAATGCTAATTTAGAAGCTTCTGAAAATACAGGGTATAAACAGGATGAGATATCCAATTACCAGCAACTCTCTGTTAAACGTAGTAGAAAGGTCAAAGAGAGAGAAGTTAGTGTGTCAGGTATTATACAAGAGTCTAAACTTGATTCATCCCAGTTAACTCTTCAGGCAGAATTTGATGTGTCTGCCACACCTAGGAAACGTGGTAGACCAAGGAAGATAAATCCATTGGAAGATGTTGGATCTAAGGCTGTAGAGGAAGAGAGAAGTCCCCAAAAGACAAAAGTTCTCAGTGTCCGAAGATCTGCAAGGAACACCCCAGCTAAAAATGAAAATAGCAATGTTGGAGGACCAGGTTTAGAAAAATCCACCATAGTGCCAAATGAGCAACTTGATATGGTAATGAGCTCTACAAAAAAGCTTATAAAGAAGACCGAAAATCAAAGCCAAAAACATACATTATGCTCAGTGTCAGAAGAACATGTAGATGAAGTGGCACATGAACCAAATGACCAAGAAGAGAGATTGCTTTCTACCACAGCTTTTATTAAATCTTCCCGTAGCATAAGGACTAGATCAAGCAAGGCCATCTTTTTGCAAGACCTTTCTGAACCAAAAAATGAGACTTTATTTTCTCCTACAGCAAAGATTTCAAAGAAAGTTAAAGGTACTTTTATTTTTATTTGTAGTTTTCATTCATTCAGAATCTTCAGCCTGGGCTGGGGATTTAGCTCAGTGGTCTGGCGCCTGCCTTGCAAGCGCAAGGTCCCAAGTTTGATCCCCAGTACCAAAAAAAACAAGAATCTTCAGCCTAAAATTTGGCTAAAGTACTGTTTGATTTAAAGCACTAACTAATCTTCAAAACAGTTTATTGTTAAAAGGGAGTTCACTCCAAACAAAAAAACCTCAAACAAATTATTTTTTAAAGATTTCATATTTCCAGGTTTGAGATGCAAGAATTCAGTGATACAGTATGTTTTTTAAATCTTAGGATTTATTTGATATAGGTATTATTTTCTGTAATATTGAGCTTCATTCTGTCCTTGTAGTGACTTAGTTTTGGTTTCTCTCCAAGTAGGATATGTTTTTAATCTACTAGCTTTGGCTCACATCACTGTTAATAGCTACAACCCCAGATTGTTTGTTTGTTTTCGCAGCACCAGGAATCGAACTCAGGACCTTGCACTTGTGAGGCAGGTGTGGTGCCACTGAGCTAAATCCCTGGGCCCAACCCCAGATTGTTTAGAGAGGAACCACTGGTAGTTTTTTACTGATCATGGTATAGAAATTAATGAAATCTATATTCTTATTGCCCATAAATTGGTATGCTGCATACCCAACCTCATTCATTTCATTGTTGAGCCAGTGATAGCTCAGACCTTCTCAATAAAGGTGGTATTTCTCTCAAAAGAGTAAAAGTATTTTACTGTTTCTATGTTTAAAGCACATATATGTATAACATGTATAACATGTATAGTGTATTGATATTGTTAACATTTCTTGGGGTAAAACAGTTCCATGGAGAAAGTGCTTTAATGTCTAAAAAGGTGATAATGGAAAAAGACTTAAGCTAGTATACTTGATACATGTCTAGAATAGCTCTTTGATAATGGTTAGGTACACAAAATACAGTTTGATTAAGTTATAGTTGGGAAAAGAATTACAGAATGTATCATTTTTTGTTAGTTATGGTAGTATATGCCTGTATTCCCACCTATTTGGGAGTCTGAGGCAAAAAGATTGCAAGTTGAGATAGATAAATCATTTCCATAGAAAGAGTATAGAAATATTTGTATTTTTAGCACCAGAATGGGGAAGTCTCCCATCAGTAGCCCTAGGCATTGCAACTTCTACCTACAGTAAGCTGGTAGTGGAGATGATCTTTATTCTTGGTGTGACCCCTGTTTTTTTTCTGTTGTTCAGAATCACATGCCTTAAATGCAGAATCTGACATCTGGTAGAATTCTGTCCTAGTAAGTTAAATAACTGAAATATAATTTGAGAGTTTCTGTCAAGGGTTTGTATATTTTTTAAAATAACAAAACATTCAAAATTCTACTTATAAACCATATACTATATGCCACATGATATTCTAATTTTTTAATCTCAGAATGCCTTTGATTTTTTTGTTGTGGTGGTATTTGGGTTACTTTGTTTTGTTTTTGAGACAAGATCTTGCCCTGTACTTTAGGCTTACCTTGAACTCAATATGTAGCCCAGGCTGGCCTTGAACTTGAGTGCTCTGCCTGCCTCAGCTGGGATTACAGGCATGTGCCACTCACTGTACCTGGCTTAATCCTCAGAATACCTTTGAGATAGGTGTTGCCATTAAGCTTGTTTTATAGAAACTGAGGCAGAGTTACCTTCTTAGCTTACTTTTTCCTTATATCATATGAACTTTTCTGTTGTTTCTCTTGACTAGAACAAGTAGCTCAGATTAAGTTGAAAAGAGGGTTTAAGTCTTTTCTATGTAAATGAAATTATTCTTACAAGTAAAAAAGTACGATGTAAATGAAAATCCTGTCTGAAAATTACAACACAGACTAGCTTGGATCATATATTCAATTAATGCTTTCTCCAGACATTTGGGGAGCAGTAAGTATTTTAACTAATGAATAGTATGGCTTTGTTCTTTCTTTACATTATAGCATTGTTTAGGTTTGATGCAAAATGATTACTAGGATCCCCCCACCACCACCACCACCATTCTTTCTCCCTAACATGAGTAAGTAAGATAGTTGTGGTTTCTAGGTTTGGAGATGTCTGGATATCTTTTTGATGTGCATCATTTGTATCAAGCTTTTTGTTGACATACACACGTATTAAAGCATATATTTTAAAGATATGGATGCAGTGTTGGTTTTTTTCCCCCAACTTTTCTTTAGCTGAAAGAATAGAGACTCCTACACAGCTGAAAGAATTAGTTTCAGATTTATCTTCTCAGTTTGTCTTCTCACCTCCTACTTTGAGGACCAAGCGAAAGAACATATCCAGCACATCCAGGCTTATAGATGAACTGGTAAGGAAAACATGCTTGTGTGTATTTGCTTAAACTTGCTCTTATTTTCTAAATAAATGTTTCCTAAATAAACTACTTTATGATATCAACCGTTTATGCTAAAAGCCCAAAACTCTTGTCTGTACTACTTTTGGAGATCCTGCTTTCAGACAACTTTGTAGTATGTTACTATGATATATTACCTACTGGCAGCCACAATTTGAGTTACCTATTAGGAGAAAGGTTTTTTTCAATTTTAGTGCCCTCCAGAATTAATCTGTTTATTTAAGATGTACATCCTAGAAGTCCTGTTGGGTCATTTGGAAAATTCCCTTGGAGAGACTGAGAGTTAATTCAGTGACCTACCCGTACATAACCCTAAAATGAAAATTCTTCAAGGTTTGAGTTCCTTGTATTTATGCATGCCAATTCGTAAGCATTTATTGAATTACCTGCAATTACCTTTACTATGCAAAGGCTTAACACAAAAATAATTCAGTTAATGGAAATGAAGTTGAAGAAACAAAATCACAAATAATTATTTCTCTACATAATAAGAATCTTGTACGCCCAAACACCCCTGGAGACAGAAAATAGAGGAAACGGGCATTTCTGACAGAGAAAATAGATAGGGAGACGCAGAAAATGGCAGTGGCTTGTTGGAGGGGAGTATTTGTGAACTAGTAAATAGCCATGTATTTTAAGTAGTTTTTTATGAAAGATTCTAAGGTGGGAAAAAAAATACAGTCTCTGTGGCCTTTCCCTGCAAGATGAAGGGCAGTGAACAATAGAAACATTCAAAATAAAATTGACAAGACTTGGAGAACAATTGAATTACAGGAATAAGCAATACAGAACATACCTAGTTGAGTAAGGTTTTGACTAAGATTTTTATTAGCAAATCAGAGTAATCCATTTGGGACTTGAGTTTATTAGAATTGTTTGACTATACTCCATAAGTCAGAATAAAACTTTTAAATTCCAATTTCAAATGTTTATGATTTACCTTTTAAAAATTTTAACTTGTAGGAAGATGATGCTAAAACAGTAGAAACTGTGGGAGAGCAAAAAGTGAAGAGAATCAGGACTGCAAAAACAAAACAGGCAAACAAGTAAGTATAATTTTCTGTTTTGTAACCCCTAACAATTTGTTTTTCCAAATTAGAGTTGAGGGGGCCAGGGATTTAGTTCAGTGGTTCCACCACCTGCCTCGCAAACACAAGGTCCTGAGTTTGATCCCCGGTACCAAAAAAACCCCCACCAAATTAGAATTGAGACAAGTGGTATTTAAAAAAAGAAATTAGGCTTATCAGAAAGGGGTAGTTCTTGAGGTCTTTTCTAGCACTGACTCCTTGACATTGTTACATTTTAATGCTGAAGGTAGGTTTCCCTGTCACATGAAAGCCCATTCATGCTTTTTTGAAGAAGGTTGGTGGACAGAGGTAGTTTAGTACCTTCAGGATATGAATGGGGGAGAAAAGTGGAATAGTTCACCTTTTCATTAGTAAAGACAAATACTAATAATATAAACTTTAAAATCATAAAATGATTTTAGCTCAGTGGTTCTGCCACCTGCCTCAAAAGCACAAGGTCCCGAGTTTGATCCCCGGTACCAAAAGAAACCAAAATCAAAAAAACACTACTGATAAATAGACTTGGTATATATTTGAAAAACTACTTCATGTTTGTGAAATGACACATGTATTTGCCAGTTGTTGGTGCTAAAGAACTGCCATTTTCTATAGCTCCATGGGCCTGGCCTGCTGGGCCCCCATAGACTAGTAGTATATGGCCCATCCTCGTAATTCATTAATATATATGCAACATTTAAAGGAAAATTTCACAACAATTATTTTTAAATATCCAAATCAGAAAACAAAAATCTTAAACAAAAACGTTGAAGTGAAATTTTAACTCTGCCTCTAATGAGCTTACGTGACTTAAAACTATATCATTCATCTTCACTTCTCTTGAAGCCATTATTTCACTTACAAAATGAAAGCACTCACCCTAAGGTTTCTTTCACAATATTGAGAAATCAGTTATATTTATAACATAATATGTTTATTCTTATTTGATTCTATCTTTCCTTTCAGAAACACAGAAAAAGAAAGTTCTTGGTCACCTCCTCCAGTAGAAATTAAGCTGATTTCTCCCTTGGCAAGCCCAATTGATGGCATAAAGAGTAAACCAGGAAAAACTGCCGAAGTAACAGGAAAAGCTGTTGGAAGGGGCAGGAAGAAACCATCTTCCTTTCCAAAGCAAGTTTTACGTAGGAAAATGCTGTAATTTTTTTCCAGGGTTTTAATGCACACGTATTTATAAAGTCATCAGAATTGTATGGATTAAAAATCATCTAATTTGGAAGAAAATAATTTATATAAATTATTGTAAATTTTTGTAAACAGGAGGTCTTCAGTAAGTAAAATAACTCCCTGTGGAGTGATTCTTTTAGTCCAGGCATTTTTTTCTATTTTATATTAAGACTTCATACATTTATATAATATGTAAATATGGCTTATTATTGGAATGTTAAATAAAGTATGTACTTCACAGTAGTTGGTGTCTGTTAGGTTTTTGAGAGGGGATTTCTGTTTTAATTTTATATGCTAGTAGTTTTTGTCCCATTTTCATTCTCTATAGTTAAAATATTAGACCAATCTTAAAATGAGACTGATTGAGCTATTGATTATTTTTTAAAGTTGCTATTTTATAATTTATGCACTTTGATTCTGTGATTAAGATTTCTAATCATAATATGTATTTTTGTTTGTTGCCTGTTACAATGTTGAAGCTGAAGTATGGGCATGTAATTTTGCTGCCTTTTTGTAGTTTCACAAACTTTGTGTAATCTACCTCAAATGAGTAATTTTCCAAGTAATGCATTGGTTAACTGTAATGTTGACATTTGCTCAGCAAGCTTAAAGACTATTTATCTTTAAAGTCTCTTAATTCAGAGACTAATTATCCAGGTTAGATTGACCGGTTCACTGCTTATTAGCAACCTCATGAAAGAATTTGAGATAAACCTGTTTTATGGATATTTGGTACACTTTGCATGTGCCTAATATTGATAAGTCTGAACAAATTTTTATAATATTCTTGCTGTGGAGCAGCTTGCTACTGAATCACAAAAATCCCTTATTCAGGTTTTTAAAACTGGCAAATTATCACAGGACCTCAGGCAAAGATTTGAGAATGGGAAGAGTGTGAGTCGGTGTGGAACAAGAAAGAACAAAAGCACCCTTTTCTCTGCAGTGTGACTGTGTGCAATTAAGTAATGATACTTGACGTAGGCTATAAAATTCATCAATAAATAAGTGTTGTAAAATAATTTATGACAGGTAACTGATCATGTGTAACGAATGGACTGTTAATAATTGATCATCTAGAAGCAGACTGCCTTTGTCAGCTAAGCTTTTAATGTTTTCTTGTGAAGTGCAGCAGTGTGCTTTCTACATTATTTTTCTACAAAACAAAGAGTGTGGATAACGAGAAAATGATGAAGATGCCTATGCCGAGTACTGACAGTGTGAAAGTAGCAGTGTGAGTGCGACCTTTTAGTCAGGTTAGTGGTAAATGTTATATTGCCTTGTTGGAAATTTAACTGACTTCGATTTTATTAATTTTTTTAAATGATAGTTATCAAACTTGTATTTAAGCTGCTTGTCATTTCTGGAATATTAAACTTATTTAAATGAATTTGTTAAATGAATAATTTAAAGATCTAAGCCTAATTCAATAAAGTTTCACTCCTTGGCACAAGTAGCACAATAAAAAAATTGACAAGAGAAGTATATTGTCAAGTTAATGATGTTTTTAAACCAATGCATCTAAGTGTGTGGTACCTATTTTCTGTAAGTTTTTTTTCCTCTATAAAAATAAGTCAGAGGCAAATTGTTACTTCATTTAGCATGAACGCCACATACTTTTGATGAATTTGTATAATAAAAACACTGTTAACAGTTTAGGATACCATGAAGTATACTCTAGGACCTTAAAACAACCATGTATGGATGCATTGGTTACATTTTAAAGTATTTCTGAACACCTGACCCATCCTGCAGACTTTTAAATACTGAGGACACAAAGGAAAATCCTTTGTTCTCCAGCAGCTAACAGTCTTACATAAATAAATATGCTAGATAATTTTGTGTGACCAAGGCACTCACCTTCATAGTAGTAAGGTAAATAACATACCCAGAGAAAGATCAGGTTAATTCTGCATAGACAGATATTTATGGCTTCCACGATTGTGATAAGGAAGCATTTGAAATGACTATAAAAGGTCAATAAAATTTGGGTAAGGATAGTACAAGGAACAACACAGGCTTTGAAAGTAACATACCTAAATGGGATCCCATGGCATGATGGTCTTGCATGAGATATTGCTCACTCTTACAACGTAACATTTTATCTCTTGTCCATTAAGATAGCCTTGCATGTTTTTTGTTGGTATCCCTTGTGTCCTGTGCCTTTTTATCTATATTGTGGAAAATATTTCAGTAGCCAAGCAGCCATATAATTAAAGAGACTCAGTTATGCATAGAACTAAGGTTAAGTGTAACAGCTATTTAAAGCTTCTAAAGTAGTGTGCTTTTAGACACTGATCAAAATAGGCCAAAGAATTAATGACTAATAAATTAAATGTTTGCCCCTCCCCCAAAAAACAAACTATTTTCTAATCTGATCTTCAGTAATGCTCAAGATCATTTTCCCACAGATCTTCCCCCCACACACTGGCCTCTAATATTGCTAGAGTAGTCAACTATGAGTTTTAAATAGCTAATGAAAAAGATTTGTGAGAATAGACAGTAAAATAATTATTTGTTTTGTTGTTGAGGTTGGGATTGGGATGCTGGGGATCAAACCCAGGGCCTGATGTTTGCTAGGCAAATGCTCTGCCACTGATCTGTTTTCCCAGTCTAGTAGTTACATATTTATAGAACCTTTAGGAACCATTTTTAAAATACTATATTTTATTCAAATTCACCACCAAAATTAATTAGCTTAGATTAGAATAGTAGGAAGAAAAGGAATGAACTCAAGATAATTTGGATAATCATCACTTCTGAACAACTATAATACCTCCTTGCTGTTCCCACTGTGTCCTTAGTTGTAAGAAAATCTTGTACTCAGGAGACAGGCAGGATCGAGTTGAGTTTGAGGCCAGCCTGGGCTACATAGTAAGTTCAAAGCCACCCTGAAGTGTACATAGTGAGACCCTGTCTCAAAAAAAAAAAAATTTTTAAGGTAGTACATAATTTTTTTTTTTTGGTACGGGGGATCGAACTCAGGACCTTGGGCTTGCCAGGCAGGCACAGTGCCACTGAGCTAAATCCCCGGCAAAAAACAAAAATCTTAAAATTAGTGTCTTATAACTCCATGCTCAAACCCTTCCAGTTGCTTAAAGGTAAAATGTTACAGTTTACAAGACCTAGTGACCTATACTTTGCCTAATTTTCAAACTCCATTTCCAGTCTTTTTCTTCATTGTGGGATCAGAGAACACCTTCATCAGAAGAGGCAGAGAACCAACTCTATGGTATCTTTTGTAAGAGGCAGGATGTCCTGAGCCTCAGTATCTTTTTCTGTAAGGTAGAAATATTGATGCCTCACAGTTATTCTACTAAGGAATACAAACAGTAGATGTAAATCAGTGAGCAGTGCCTGACAACTATTCTCTACACTTTTCAAGCAGCCTTGATACAGTTGACTCAGTAGCCATTCAGTCATTTTTTAATATAGTCACAAATACGTGTAATCATTACCACAACGTTAGGATATTTCATCCCCCCCGCCAAAAAAAATCTTGGTACCCTTTAGCTATCATCCTATTCCCCCAGCCCTAAGCAGCCACTGACGTATTCTTCATAGATTATCTCTGTTCTGGACATTTTCTATGAATGGAATGATGTATAGTCTTTTATGATGGATGTTTTCACCTAGCATATTTTCAAGGCCCCTTTGTGTAGCATGTAAGTTTTTTCTTTTAAGATAAGCTACAGGCACGTGCCATCATGCCTGACTCAATTTCATTCTCTATGACCGAATAATATTTAATATTTTATTGTACAGATATACCAAATTTCTACATCCATTCATCAGTTGATAGACATTTGGATTGTTTCTGGCTATTATAAATAATCCTCAGAGAATATTTCTCTATAAGTTTTTGTGTAAATGTTTTGATTTCTCTTGATTATATAGCTAGGCATAGAGTTGCTGAGCCATCTAATAACTGTTTAATTGATTTGAGAACCTGCTAGATTGTTTTCTAAAGCAGCTGTACCATTTTACTTTCCTGCCAGTAGCATATGAAGTTCCAATTATCTTAACGTTCTTGCCAATACATATCATCTGACTTTGTATTCAATTCATCCAAACTGGTGTGTTATTTTATGGTTTTCCATGATGACTAATTATGTTAAGTGTGTTTTCATGTGCTTACTGCTTGCTTATGTTTCTTGGAGAAATATCCAGAGCCTTTGCTCTATTTTAATTAGATCAGCTGTCTTTTTGAGATAGAAGCCCATGCTGTGTTGCCCAGGCTGGCCTTAAACTCCTGGACTTAAGAGATACTCCTGCCTCAGCATCCCAGATATCTGAGACAAGTGCACACCACCATATCCAGGTCTCTGTATTTATTATTGACCTGATCTTTATAGATTCTGGGTACAGTTCCATATGAGATGCACAGTTCGCAGAATGGTCTCATTCTGTGGGCTTTCTTTTTCCCATTTTTGGTGCCATCCTTTGAAGCAGGAACATTTTTAATTTTGACAAAATACTGTTTATTTTAATTGCTTTTGCTTTTGGAGTTACATCTAAATCCTTTACCCAATAATCCCAAGGCCAGAAAGATTTACTTCTGCATTTTTCCTTTAAGGTTTTATACTATTAGCTCTTATATTTTAGGTCTTTGGTCTACTTTAAGATCATTTTTATATATAGTTTGAGGTAAGGGTTCAAGTTCATTCTTTTGCACATGGACACAGTTCTCCTGGCAACATTCTTGGAAAGGCTGTTCTTTCTCAGTCGGATAATCAGTTAACCTTAGATGTCGGGTTTATTACTGAACTCGTGTTCCAGAAAAACCCATCCCAGTATATGAGGACCATCCACAGGGTGCTGTGAGACCCGAGAAAAAGGCAGAAACATCCGGGATTGCAGAGTGAAATTTATGGTCCTGAGCAGCAGCCAGACTAGTGAATGGATCCTTGTGATTTGCATCAGAGGAAGGGAACATACAAAGTAGTCTGGATGAATGTGACTTCGTCCAAGCTGGACTGTATCTGGTTTATCTCAAGGCATAACATTAAAGATGTGAGGTACGTGCCTAGTGTTAATGATGCCAGGGTCTGATCATAAAACACTACTATTAATGTTTCTGTTTGTTTGTTTAGAATGTGCTGGGAAACTAGGGAAAACCAACCAGGATGGCTCTGGGGCCATCTTAGTAGATACAGCTGCAGTTACATCAGGCTGAATCCCCACCTTTTACCCTCATCTCCAACACTCAGAATCTTATGTGCCACCCTCTTCTGCAGTGTGCCCTGAACCTGTAAGACGTTCAGCATTATGTATGCAGCATGCCATATGTCATTTGGTCAGCGGGTACACAGGTCCACAGCAGTGGTAGAGGAGTGTGCGGGAAGAGACAATAATTATGCAAATAGTTTTTTTCTACTAGGAGCCCCAGGAACCAAACCAGTAACCTATATGTCTCCCATAGAAGGACCAGAGTCACACAAGGCATTGATTTGGGTCGTCTTATGTGGTATGAGGTGTGTGATATGGGGGATATATACATATTTTGACTTGATAACCAAAACAGGTTTCAGGGAAAACTGAAAAGACCACAACTACAAGCTAAAATAAACATGCTTTTAGAGGAACTTGTAAACCTGCGCCATCTGGCAAGACATCACCATCCCTGTTAGATCATACTGATGGCAGCTGGAGCTGGTATGGTGGAGCATACTACACAGGATTACCAACATGATGGGGTCCACGAGTGATTTCTGAAACTCAAATCAAAATAGCACACCAAGCCAACTAGAGTGCCCAGAGAGATTTTCTTTAGCCCACTCTTCATAAGTCCAGAGTCCAGCAGGATCAATGGGATCGAGTTACCAAGGCCAGAGGCTCCTCACATTATGCAACAAACAGCTGACTCATCCAGAAGGAAAAAGCCACTTGCTCCCCCCACAGAACTGTCCCCAAATTCAGTGGTTGCAGTGTAAATTAGAAGTGCTTTCTGTCTGCATCAACTCTGGCTGGCAGGAAGGCACCTGGACGTAGACACAGATGGTCTGAGGCAGTGTCTGGAGCTCCTAGGTGCTGAGCATTAAGTGGTGGATGAAAGTAAAATGACACACCGTGTCTTCTGAGATGGGTTGCCCCAGACACTGCCACGTGGCATGGGGACCCATATAGCACAGGAAACTTCTAAAGACCTTTGACAGTGGCAGTCTTGTTGTTAGCTCTTGCTGGTCAAGGCTTTTGTAAGGCCAGTAGCTGTGTCTACACAGGTTAAGGCATATTTGTGTCCTCTGGCAAAGGAGACATGTAACAACCTGCCAGTCCCTCACAGGTTGGGCAGCGTTTTGTATCCCTTTGTGTGTTCAACAACAGGGGTAGGGGTCTAAGGACACCTGCCACGGGGTCGTGTCTGCCACCAGGTCACAGTTTTTAGGGGCAATTCTGTCCCTTAGCTATGTACTGTCCTTTAGCACTTTTATGTCTACTGTCACTACACACCCACCAGGCCTGTTAGGTCTGCTGCCGGG